CCCCAAAACCCCAAAACCCCAAAACCCCTGAATGAAATAATCTCTGAATAAATCAGGGAATTTATCCCAGAATTTAATAAATTAAATTGTAGTTAAAATGAACGTAAATTTATTAAACCTCTAAGTCAACGAACTCAATATCAATCTCTCTAAGCAACAGGACTAAGCAAAAGTTGACCCTAAAATACTTTAAGAACTTGAGTTTTTCGAAAAATTATGCAATAATCTATATTCTCACTAAACTTCCACCCAGGTAAATATTATTTTCCTACAATATAATTTTTAAGGTAAAAAATGAAGCAGACTCATAGTTAAAGTCTTACACTTCTGATTTGAGCAAAATACCGTTTTTGTAAAAGTTTCTTGAAATTTCAACAATTAATTATGTCCAGTTCTTATCTGCCTCTGCCCTTAAAAATCTACTTACTGAACATTGGAGTCAGATCTCCTTTGATGATAAGTTTAATACAAAGTTCTACATACTAAACTACTTGTGTGGCAAGGCTTTGTAGCAGGATAGACAGGTTATGAACATGATGATGACACTTTTAGCAAAAATACTTAAAATGTCTTGGCTAGATTTACCAGATATGCAGGTTTCCATAAGCGAACTCAATAAAGTATTTGATGTAAGCATACTATCTCTTAATCCTTTATGATTAACGCTTATTGAATTATAGTTGAGTAATGAGCATTGCTTAGTCGCGCTCTTAACCTCGGACTAAATTATTACAGAAATGACATACGTTTTTAATGGAAAAGCACTTTCAATAAATAGAAGAGTCTCTGTGAGTTTCAGAGAGAATGCCATGTCCGGTATATTTGAGCGCTGTCTCACTTTAATTCAGAAATTTCTAGATCAGATTTAACAAGATTTATAGGTAAGTTCTGACTAAAATTCCTAATCCACTCTTGCTAACTCAACAAAATTTATAGTGCGGAGTGAAGCATAATGAAATACTAATTTAAAGTTTAATCACAAGTCTAGAAATTATAGTCAAAGCTCTAAACTTTGACTACTCAGCTATCATACTCAATGAGACCTCAGTTGATTAACATTGCACTAATGTAATTTCCTTTTAATTTATATATCGCTATGTAGCTACCGCCATCTTGGAGAAGATTTATCAGAGACTTCCCAATAATTGATAACCTGTTTCATTTATTATCACTTAAAATTAATTCCACTCACGAGGAAAGAATAAAACAACTAATTTGCTAGTGTATTGCAGATTTTGCAAATCTTAGACATGTGATATTTGAGAATTTTGAGGAAAGAGGAAAATATGTATAAGTATGTATCACTCTTCCCATTTAAATGTATTTAGGGACTAGTGGGTTTTATCATAAAGATATTTCAATCTCCAGTAATTGATTCCCAAGTTCTTTAGAGTCCTGGTGTTTACAAAGAATTCGTCAGAATTGTCAGCAACATTGAGGTAATTTCACACTTATTAAGTTGATGTTATATTTTAGACGAATTTTACTGCTAAGGATATACTTTATCAAAACAAAGACACAGTACTTTTAGATCGTTATTGTGATTGTCTCTACACTTTCACAATAAAGAGCTACTAAACAACTAAACTGGCAATTAGAAAATTATCTGGTGTGCTTAATCATATCTGGCAGAGAATGAGAAACTACTGCAGCATCAATGACATTAAAACACTAGCCATCGTGGATAATTATGTAATGATACTAATTCAGACCTACTTTGATGAAAACCTTAAGATCCTAGAGAATGATTCATTGTAAAATGAAGATCTAGATGGAGCGTTAGATGAACATTTCTAAGGTAATGAAGAGGCACAGGATAAACTTAATTTAGAGCATGTTTCAAGAATGCTTAAAGTCAAAATGGAACTTTCTATGTCTAAGATACTTCACTACTTTTTTAGTTCACTTCTCAAGTATGAGCTAAGCATTAAGTAAGGCGATCGTAATATGCGAAAGGTCATTGAGAGATAATTGACTTTCTTGATTTCACATACAATTTAGCTATTTACCTTTGGCATGCATTCAGCTAACTCAAGAATAAGTTGGTACTCTCCACCTTGTGTTCAGCCCATTGATGATGAATCTATAGACGAAGGCAAATGCAAGGATCAATATGCTGATTTTGCAATCATTGCTAAGATAACCTATATCATGAAGCTATCTAATTAAGTTATCAATGTAAGTTTCATAAGGTTACCCTGAATAAATTTTAGGACAATAACAAAGCCAAGATAATGCCTGAATTGCAGATAAATCTGCTTAAGTTTATGAACCTCTTTAAGATTCAAGTTATTTGTGAGTCAAGAATGCTAAGCATTGCAAATTTGTTGGTATAGTAAAGTTCGAATGATGATGACATGGATAAAGATAATAATACTGGAGATTCCTCCAATGTCAAAATATATAACTAAATCGCAATAATGAGCGGCTCAACTGATATGGTATCGTTAATGGACGTTTTCATTGAAAAAATTCTATAAATACTAATCTACACAGATGGCTCTCAAGATTTAGGTCGAGTAGCCATTTAAGAAGCTTTGAATGCTTTTGAAACTTTAATCTCAACTCCACAGACTCTCAAATTCTGCTCTAGAAGTTAGTTAGTCTAAGCCTTTGTAAAGTAGCATGTGCTCTCCTTTAACATCTTCTAACATGACAATGACTCCAAGCATCTAGTGAAATTCTTCAAGATACTAAGCATCCTCTGGACTTCGCCAGCCTTTCTTGATGATTTTAACCATTATCTTGATTAGCTGCACTCATTTATCCAGCAGATAACTAGCAATGAGCAAGATCAGGTGATAAAATCTCCCACTGTCAAGGCTTAAATCATCAAGTTCTATAATATAATAACTGGCACAGCAAGGGGACTGACTAATGTTCATGACTACGACCTGTTCTTTGATTGGTTCAACCCCAACTACTTCCAAATTACTTCTGAGATTATGAAGATGCTGATATCAGATGATGATATATGCTTGGCTATAATGAAATTTCAAAAGGAACTAATCTTAAATAGATGTCAAAGGTTGCGACTAGATTCATGGAACATTAATGGACTGATATCTTTTAGAGAGTGCTCAATCATAATTATCAGCTATATGCAATTCTATGACAATTTCAAAGCTAAACCTGTCAAGCGAGATGCATTCAAAGAAAAACTCAAATTCATTAGCACCATCATTGACTTCTATTCGAATGCAATAAGTGGAGGATACTTATGCTTTGGCTCTAGTTAATACTACCAGGATAGCACTTTCTAGCTGCTGTCTACTCATTTATTTACCTCAATATCTTCTCTCAACTGGGATGAAATAAAAGTAAGAATAATATTTCCTGATAACTTATGTACAATTTAGCCCTATAAGAAGTTTTGTATTAAGATATTTGGCTTGACCGAAAACTTCTTCAGAAATTACCTCGAAGTTTTATTTACTCATTTCTAGCATCTTGCCATTGAAAGATTACTCCATATTGTTAAAGAGGGTTTTTGCGATGAATATATCTTTTGAAATACAAATATCTTTACTCTAATCCCACAAATTTTAACTCATTTTACCTACAGAGATCAATAAATCAGCTCTTGATTCCCTAGATTTATTCAATGAATATGTACTTACAAACATTTAGAAACCAAAGAAAAAATCGCCAATGCTTAACAACTAGATCTTAGCTTTCTACTAGGGTCATTAGAATACTTTCTAGATGCTTATGAATCAGCTTGTATACACCTTAGTCTTCGAAGACCATACCAACTTAGCAAACTACTCTAGATGCTTCCACTCTTTATTCTTGATGTGTGAGAACAATGCAAGCAAAGTCATCTTTGATGCTATACTCTAGGAGGAGAGAAACGAGGCTAGACAGCAGAAGATATGTGAGGAGATGGTTAAAATGATAACGAACATCCCTAATAGCCTTGAAACTAGATGCAGAAACATGTTTAACCCTAAATTCATTGTGTTTAAGAACTACCTACTCAGCGATAAGTGACATCATGCTGCGGCAGTGCAAACTTGAAAAGTACAAGATAAGTTTATGTGTGTTCAATTCCAAATTAAGTTTTTATTTCTTGATTTCTAAAATTTAAACAATAATTACTATGGGGTTTTGGGGTTTTGGGGTTTTGGGGTTTTGGGG